TTCACTTATTCCGATTCCTACCAGGCTGTATCTTTTCATTTCTGCATCAGCTTGGATGACTCTCTCTGTCTCACACAATGAACGAACATTTCAGTTAACTGGAGTAGTGGTTTTCGGAAGGGGCATCGGTCTCGTGACTGCCAAAGAAACTCGGCTTTCATCATGAGACGTGATAATTCTTCTGGGTGAAGACCTTCCAATTCACAGGGCAGAGTTTAAATGGTTTCAATTATTTTTTCTGGTTAGCGTTTTATAACGTGTTAAGTTACACGATGGGGTCGTTAACCCCAAGGCCAACCCTTGTGCCTTATCCGGGCCTGAGACCGGCAGCAACTTCAGAGGAGCTTTAGGCGGACATTTTCATAGTTTACTCCACTTGATTTATTCTTGTTTTGATAGATTAAGAAATGTAGTTTAACGGTTAGACCTGACATAACTTAATCTGATTTCCAAACAAATTAGAAATCATTTATATGAACAAAACATTAAAACCTGTTCTAACAGGTATAATGAGGGTAAAAGATCACAACTTTGTCATTGTATTAAATAAGTATGACCAGGTGAATTTAACACGATAAGGGAAACACCAAGATTGACAAAAAAAACATAATGACTTCACTTAGAACCTTATATCACAATACATTGAGGAATACCAGAAGATAAAACCTGCAGTGACTGAGAATTCCCATTTAGGGACAATACCACTATTTACATACACTTTTAAATAATATAACATCATAATGCAAAAGAGACTAATTAGTATTTGCTGATATTCAACAATAGAATGCATTCTTCAATAAGGCTGATCTGACTACATAATAGGGTGAGTCAAAATCTGAAGTGTAAAATTGTCCAGTCCATTGATCAGTGACCTGAAATGTTGATTCCTAACTCACTCTGTTCCCGTCACACACTAATTTAACTATTCAAAAGTTTTTACATTCACTTTAAAAAAAATGTTTTCAAGCATGAAAAGTTGCGCTTTTAGAAATTGATAAAAGTATTGCAAGTGCTATTTCTAACATGATCCAATCTATTCGCGTTCACGGACTTTTCCCGTCTCTACTCAATGGTCCGACGATAGACAGAAACTAAATATCATTTCTACCGATTAGTTCTACAAGTTACTACATGAATGAATGACAAACAGAAGTTTATGAATAGAAAGTGAGTCCGTTACAAAATTGAAATCCGACAATCATTTATATTTGAATGAATTTTAATCCCATTCGTTTGTGTTAGGTGCTTTGTAAATAAATACGTATGTCATATTGCTGTAGAAAGCTACTCTCTTTGCTAACCAGTTATTGTCTTATGATATCCTTTTACTTAGTGTTTTGAGCTAATAAGTCGGTTTTTGTGAGTAACTGTTACTTAGCTACTCTATAAACATCAATTCAGAAGATTGATCATACACATTATTTGAATGCATTCCGTATAATGACTTGATAATCAACATAAGTATTCGCTACCACTAATAAATAGTTTAGTGAAATGATAATCATATTTTCCGTTCATATTGAAGACAGTTAAGTAAGTGATATATTAAATTATTGAATGGTCAATTGTGATATCTGAAGTCAAACAAAATAACCCTGGTCACATTTTAACTGTAACTGGAAACATAATCATGTTGAAACTCCAGTTTCCATTCTCTTTGACATAATACAGTTTACCATACAAAATTACCCAAGATAATGTGTACCTCAGACCTAATGTAAAATATTGTTCAACATTTTATTATACTATTCGTCTAATGAATAATAGGTGTTTACACAATATTTATCATAAATGAACACATGATAAACAACTAACTTATCGCCTTTCATAGCACATTAAAGTTATCAATGAACAAAACACATGGCATTCATACTTATCACATGTCTGAACATAACAAGGTATATTTATTTTAGATATCATCAAAAAACTTTTATCATGAAGCACATCTGATCACTTAATCAATTTTTTTTTATCATCAGTTAACTACGTGAAAATACTTTTTTATAGATTACATACAGAACTTCACTTTCCAACTCAGAAAGAAATCAATAAAAAGTGCCGAAAGTGGATTGAACAAACATTGCAGAAATCACCGAACGGTGTCACGAGGCAAGCCCTCACTCGGGACAATTAAGGCCAAAGAACACATAACACCAGGAATCGGAGGTAAATACGCGAAGAGAATGGATAGCAATTGTGAAGAACTGGAAAGGAGAGCCTAGGACAAGGTTGGTTGGAGATCACTGGTCGGCGACCTATGCTTCTTGAGGGGTAAATAATTAATGCGTAAGACGATGTTGGTAATCACTAGTTCGCAATTATCCTACTATTTAGTTTAGAATGATTAATGCTCAAAGGTAGGTAGAGAGAAGGGAACAATGTATTACAGATTTATAAAAATTCCTTTAATAGCCTCGAGTGAATTTATATTTTCTCCAGAAATTCGCATACATATTGTCCTTTGGTTAAGCCGGTATCTATCAACGGATCCTATACAGGTTGTTATGATGAATTCTAACAGGTTTGAAACAGTAAATCAGAGATTTTATGCAAAGTTTGGTCGCGACTAGTAGCGAAGTCCAAAACACATGTTCGGCCCTTATTTGAGACTCATCAATCGGATGTACATGTACCCCAACGGTTATATTCACGCTGAGTAAGCGCCATTTTACAGCAAATACGTCAGTTATTTATGAACTCACTATAATCTACAGAAGTGTCAACAGAAGTTCGTACGGAGGCTAGATGGTGAACAGTTCGATGTTTCAAATTAATTCTCAGTCAGTTACAACGTAGAACTTCGTACATACGTACATCGGTCCAGGTTGCTATACCACATTAGCACAGATACACAACTGTCAGTTCAAATCCCATAATGGTAGAGATAGTAGAAGTATTAGCAGTAATGGTGAAGATTAGGGTTCGAATATATTACTCAAGAAGTATAATTCAGTGAGATAAGTTTAGGAGGAGAAAGGTAGAGGTAATTAGGAATTCAGAAGATTAGAATGTCATAGAGCACAAAGAGTGGATGCACCTGCACCGTTGAAAACGATTTTGAACCATGTCATTCAACGTCTCTAACCATTGCTTATTATCGTCTCACGGACCCCAACCAGGTAGTCAGCATCTACCAATATGACTCAGTCCACTTGTCAGTGACTTCATGGATTTGTGCCATGTTTTGGTTTGGCCGCCCCTAGCTTTCTTCCACAACCTACTCCTACACCAAAAAACAAATTAATTCTAAGAAATAATTAAATAATACTTCTGAACATTAATTTAATTTCTGAAATATACTGTAATAGTATTCATTTTTTCAGATAATTTATCATAGTTTCTTAAAATTGAACTTTTGAAATACCAATGTATTTGCTTAGATAACGATTTAACCAAGTGTACTTCTACTAACTAGTATTATATAAATAAATTGAAAGAATTAGATATAATGATTTTGTACATATTAAAACTTTTATTTTTACTTAAATACTAGTTGAACATGACGAATGATCACCGCAAAAATAATGTAATCGATCATTTACAGTATTATAAATAGGTGAAAATGTATTTACCATACTTTTAGTATAAACAATTTCCTTCTAATCCCACTTCAACTTTGACTATATTAATCAACACAATGAAAACAAAACTATTCGTACTATTTTTGAAGTGTATTCAAACCATTTGTAATTCAAACAATCAAGCCAGGTACAAATTATGCAATAAAGTACAATAAAATTAGAATAGAGAGAATTAGTATATATATATATATATATATATATATATATATATATATATATAAACGTTCAGAGTTAGTCAGCAGAATAAGTACGAAGTAACCAACAACACAAGACTGATACATTGAGCTTTTTTATTTTTTAATATTATAAACAGTAGAAACAAGTTAAGATGTGCATACATTCACAGCCCTCAGAATGGAATGAAGACAAACACAAAATTTTATGTCTATGAAAGTAAATTGATATGCTGAGATCGCTATTCAAAATATTCTTAATTTAGTTGGACTTAACAAAAGGCTGAATACTGGACACAATGATTTTGTTAGAGATATTCTGAGATGTTATTGAACATTAACAGTACCACTGTGAAGTTGTAATTGTAAAATAAACACTAAAAATGAACATGAGGACGGTGTGTAATTGTGACATGTTTGTGTTATCACAAGTACAATTACTATCCTACTTTGTGTCAATTCTCAATATCATCATAATTTTTGTAATGTGGCAATCATACATAGTTTATATCAAAGTTTGTAGGTTACTACAGAATATATATATTGTCATGTTTACTTATTTTCACAGTCATTTCTTAAAGGAATAAAACCTCTTTTGAAAAATATCCGTTTTCTTGCCCATATAGTTAATTATTATATATATTCATGTTCATGTTCATTTTTGTTATCAAAAGTATCTCTTATCGTATCTTGCTTACTTTAGACTCATATCACAAGTTAATATTAAATGGAAATTAGAAGAAAAAAAATTTCTTCAAAGTTTCAATGTAAATCATAAGATTGAACACATTGAACAAATAAACATATTGATGAATAATATATACAAAAAACAAAATATAGAAATAAAGATAAAATAATTCAAGGAAATTTAGTTGAACTTAAAAATATGATTCTTTTTTTTTTAAAAAAAAAATTAAACTAAAATAAGAAATTCCAATGAGAAAATTCTATTCATACAAAAAGAAGATTACAATAGAAGAAATTACATATACATAATATTTATAGTGTTTATACACTTCAGAATAATAAAAGCACACAGCACATTGATGTTATATAAAGTAATGATAACAAATTAAATTTTAACTACGACATAATAACAAGTAATATCACAAACTGAATAAAACTTAACGAAAAAGTACATATGAAAGATTATACTGTTTGAAAGAATACAACACTGTTATTCATAATATATATGATTGACAGGATATTTGGCTCAGTGATGCGCAACAATGTTTTTTTTGAATAATTAACGATGTCGTTCATGATACCTATTCTAAAAATAAAAAAACATACATATATAGTCTTATGACTACAAGGACATTGTTTTAAGGCAATATCACTTTCTTATAGTGTTCAAACTGACATCAACACAAATCAATCTTTTTATATTATTATTCTTATCACTTGCAAAACTTCTAGCATTAGAATAATAAGCTTTTAATGAATATATCTAAAAAGTGATGAACAGAACAGTTTTAACGAATGATTTATCTGAGTATGTTCTGATTGTTGCTTACAGACGATGATGTGGAAAAAAATTGAATGATTAACAGATGTTGAAATTTTAAAAGTATGTTGATGAATTCAATGTTTTTGTATACGTTTTAAAAATTTGGAGAACTAATAACCAGAATTAATACATAAATAATAAAATGCATAACTCTAGAGGTTTATTGTAAGATGATACTCCTGAAAATTGATCGATAGAATACAATAAGACACTTGAAGTTTTCTTGTCTAATGGTGCTGGTGAAGCTAGAAATCACAGGAACATTACACATACTTGATTGTTGGTGGTTGAAGAAAATTAATTCAATAACTCATGTTAAGTTTAAGTAAACAGTTTAAGGCAAGGATGATAGTCAATTCACGATATTGTGAAAATGTGTCAAATGAATGAACAGGTTGGAAGAAAGCTAGGGGCGGCCAGACCAAAACATGCCACAAGTCCATGAAGTCACTCACAACTGGATGTTGGTAGATGCAGAGTACCTGGTTGGGGTCCGTGAGACGAAAGTAACCAATGGTTAGAGACGCTGAATGAGATGGCTCGAAATCGTTTGCAATGGTGCAGGTGCATCCACTATTTGTGTTCTTTGAATTTCTAATCTGAGTTCCTAATCACCTCTATCTTTCTCTTTGTAAATTTATCTCACTGAATTATACTTCTTGAATAGTGTTTCCTAACCCTAATCTTCTGCATTACCGCTAATACTTCTACTACCTCTACTACTATGGGATTCGAAGTGACGATTGGGTCTCTGTGCTAATGTTGTATGGCAACATGAACTGATGTACGTACGTACGAAGTTCTACGTTGTAACTGACTAGCCGACTGACTGAACGCAATAGTCAGATGATAAATGGAAGAGTGATAGTAAAATCTTGGGCTGACCAGACAAAACCTAAGATCAAATGACGACCGCTATTAAACGTTCTTATTTCCAGATTACTAGTTATAAGGAAACTGTAGTAAGATAAATTGAATCCTTCAACCCAAAATTATTTGAAACAGCGATGGTACTGACTTTGATTGTGTTATGGTTTGGACAAAAATTTATGCATTGTTCATACATTTATTTTCTAATTCATTGAAACGTTTCTCACTTTTTTCTGCTTTCACCGTTTTTGTGTTATTGGGATACGTCACAATTAGAATTCTCACTCCCCCTTTATACCATGAACTTACTGTTTACTCAGAGTTCTGAATGACAGTTAAGGTTTGACAGTGAATGAAACTCGGTTGGCATTCGTACCAAGGATCTAGTTGTTTTACCTACTAAAGTTCGTATTCATTAACTACAAATCAAACTTAGGTGGGCGTTTTTACTACTTTCTTTTGTGGTTGTTTGATTTTTTCTTACAGGCATTACTATTGGAATAATATTAAATACACACATATTTATGAAATAAATGCTTTACATAAACATCAGAATAACAAAAGGTTACAATGAAATATTAATAACATATGAAATCTTTTAAAGACTTACTAAATAAGCAACACATGCACTCAATGGTATCCATATAAGAAGTGATAAAAAGACTGCAAAAAATACTAAATTATCCCAAGCAATAGTACCTATATGTAGATGGATTAGAGAAAAATCAACAAACAATGAAATGAATATATATATATATATATATATATATATATATATATATATATCTTTAAGATAAGATTTTATTTTTTAAAACGGAATCAAAAAAAAATTAACCTGAGTAAAGTATACAATATTTAGATGAAGTCTATTTTCGTATTTTTGAACAAGATAAGCTATGATGTAATACAAATACGTTTGATTGTTTAAAATAATTTTATCTCAATGAATTATACTTGTCGAATCATCATAATCTTCGAACCCTAATCTTCTCCATTACTGCTAATACTTCTACTATCTCTAACAATATGGGATTTGAAATGACAGTCGTGTCTCTGTGTTAATGCGGTTATGGCAACCTGAACTGATGTATTTATGTACGAAGTTTTACATTGTAACTGACTGACTGACTGACTTATGAAGTTTCATAACATGAATGCAATCTTAGAAGATAGGATGATTGCTTAGTGAAAATTTAACTGAACAATAAAACTCAATGTGATCATCAGTTGACAACAAACATTCTCCTAATGTGAAACGTATGGTTAAACATATATTACATAAAATCCATCTTTTTAACAAGAATAATTCTTTTTTTAAAAAAGCCCACTTTTTATTCATTTAAATAATTATAAATTATTGGTTTTTAAAGCATCAAGAAGGTATGAATTCGAACCTTAATGTACTTAATGAGTTATAGACAACGGGGCATTCTTATCATATCTTATGATGGCCAAAATATTACTAGTTTCGTGATGGTCGGTATCCAGCGCGTTCTTAGACTTCGTAATTTGCTCGACCAGACAATCGTTACTAAATAATACCTGACGGTTTATAAATCAGAAGGTGAACACAAGTGTTGAATACGTTTATTTTGGCACACCACAAACGGATCAGCAGACCACAAGCACACAGAGGAAGGTAAACACGCTAGCGAGCGAGTGAAATCGCGAATTAGCGAATCAATAAGATTAAAATGTACATATATGTACATAGGAAAATGACTGAGTAATCGAAAGATTTAAGAGATTAACATTAAAGCGAATAGGATCAATATACGCGTATGCGGTAAGCAATGTTCAGGCATACCAGCTCATACAAACCAGACAATAGCAAAAGCCAACAGTACATATAAGTTGTTGCCATACAAATGTCTTCGCTAAATAATCTGATCAAAAGGCTTAACGAAATTAAATATGAACGAACTCAAATGTACATGCAGGCACTACAATCTCAATATTTTAAAATTGGTAGCCCATATTACATGTAAAAATAATTGCTAAGTGACGGTACAGTGGTTCAAGACCTCAGCCTTTAACCACTAAGCTGCAGATCCGTACTTCATAACACCTACTTTTGGATATTATCATTAGCCTTCACACACACAGGATGGCTTGAAGATAAGTACATGACACGTGTCATGATAATAAGGTTTTTTATCTCATAAACATAAATGCACGGACTTTAAATATCGATGAGTTAAAGGATTACAAATAAAAAATACTTAGCAGGACATATATATATATTTATATACATGTATATAAATCAAAAAATACTCTCTTCTTACTGACAAGACTTATGATTAATGGTGAGAACAAAATAATCGTCAACTAAAAATAAACTGAATATACAGGTTATTAAAAACAAAACCTACCGAAATTCTTATGCTTGGAATAATGAACTGGTGCCCAAAACCGTAATATCCTCTTACTTCTTGATTCAACACATTTACCCGACATACAATAACCATTAAGACATGGTCGATAATCTTGCAGATGAATGTGTACTAAAGGCTGTTCACGGTTGTATGAATTAATATTTTTCAAATCAACTGTAGGTAGTTTTTGAGTTTTATTCATAGTAAAATGATATGTATTATTTGATAAATATTTTTTGTACAGTTGTAATATATCAGACGAGATTGGTGAAAATTTATGCGTAGAATATACAGTTGGTTGTTGTGAATGATAAATCACTGAATAGGATTTAAAAGACTCAGAAAGTTTTCCATTATTCTGTTTATAATATAACAGATATTCATTTTGAGACAATATTACAGGAAGACATACTTTACTTTGATTTGTAGTCAGATTCGATGTTGGAAATAGGCAACAAATCAAACAGGATTCTTCTACTATTTACATTGAAAGAATGAAAAACGGTAAACGATCAGTGACATATTTATATTTAGAATTTTATTCTACTGAATTACAAATTTAAGTAGTTAGTATAACCTGCATTCATAAATTAAGTGATTAAAATTTGCGTTTATCTACTCACGCATAGTCAGATTATTTATTGTAGTTTTATAGCAGTCCAGTTTATGTACACAGAAAGCAGTTATTTAATTTTGAGTGGTGATAACTGATTTTTGATACTACTTAAAAAGTGTTGAAAAAATCTACAAAGGTTATAATAGGTCAATGAATGTTTCTACTGGACATGAATGTCCCCAGATCTGTGTTCGATACAACAGAAGTTAGAATTCGTTATCCGCAGTGGAGTCATCTTATAGTCTCCTTAAAAGTATGTTCCAAGACCATAGAACTTTGTATGGCGAAACAACAATCCAAGCGATTGAAGGACAGCCTAAAGTTATTATGAAAGCTAGGAGCTTATGCTCGCTTTGGTCGAGCATGACACATCCGTCTCACACAGCGAGCACTGTCGAAATGCATCTCTGATGATTACCCTGACTAGTTTTCAAATTGATGAGACAGATTGGTCAGTAAGTCGACTCTGTAGCATCGTGTAAAGTTCTAATCACGATGTTCACCAGAATCTTCTAAAGTCCTTCACATGGTCAAATGAATTAGGCCAAAGAGAGTACAAATTAAAAGCTGTACTGCAGAGGTTTCGGAAACTTACTGATTAAGTTTTGCAATTATCACTTGTCTATTTACTTCGTATTACTAGTTTGATATTCAATTAAGCCTAACGCTAAAATACAATTTCACACTACTTCTTCACAGATTACTCCAAATGTTAAGCAACTGGTGGATATATTTGCATAGCTTCAGCATACAATACTATTGAAGAGATTTTTTCACAGACGAGGTAACGGATATCGTTATAATAAGCATATTATACATACCTGAATCACAAATACAAGTTTCCAATCCGAGACTGTAACAAAACGGATGACATTTACCCCGAAAGCATCGCCCATGTTCAGCACATTGACTACCGGATAAAAGTGTTGGACCTGGACACACAGATGACAAACCATTACACTGACCAGGTCCTAAACAAGGATTAGTACTGCTAGTTTGAGCACAAATAGTATTCTTTGGTGCTAACTGACAATCTGTAAAAAAGAGGGATAATAAAAGTATTTAGCAAGCGATTGATTTACAAGCTGTTTATAAATACTCAAGAAGAGATTAAACACGAAGTTCTTCGAATCAAAGTAGGCAGAGGTGGGAATTCGAATATTATGGTTGCAAGTTAGGTGTGACTTTAAAAAATGAGCTACCGAACGAGACAGATCTGAATCTCTGATGAAATAATAGATTTTATGACTGTCGATAAATATTGTGATACACTCATAACTTATTTTTGCGCTAATACAAATTAATATTACAATCGACCAGCGATCAATGAACTTCAGTTCATATGAGCTAAAGAAATGCTATTATGAGTAGAATTACTGTGAACAGTAATGGTTAGTCAGAATTCACCAGAAAAAATAAATTTACGAGACGAAAACTTACCAGACGTACAACAACCATGATTCCAGGGTGAACACTGAGCACCTGTTCTAAAATAACACTCAGAACTACAACAGGGGTCATATGGATTTCGACCAGCATCACATTCTTCACCTTCATCAATGCGACTATTACCACAAAGATTTGAAAGAGCTACAGACGAATCTTCAAAACATGATGGAGCACGAGTAACCAAACAAGCGCCAATTGTTCGTAAGCTACATGGTGAAAATTTCTAAGGAAATAATTATGAGGTTGACAGTAATATTTCTAAACTACAAACAAATCAATCTAGAAATATCTAGATAATTATAGATTTGATAACTACATTCCTATGAACAAAGTTCTTACTAATGATATACAACAAAAACTAATGGAACTTGATACAGTAATATATTTATCAAAAATCACTATCGGTAAAACCGATATACAATCTAGAATCTTGTCGAAAGATTCATTTCGATGGTTAAATACCTATGTGATTACCATTGACGTTTAAATACGATCAGTTATTTGTGCTCATAATTCCAAACAATAGAATTAATTACGAATTTTGGATTAAATGTAAAAAATTTTTTATACGTGATTTATACTGAGAAGTGTTATTCTGTTGTGTAAAAGTCATACTATACTTAATCGTCAGGTAGTCAGTTATATAATAAATTGAACAAGTTACTTCTTTAGCATTTCATGCCCTAGAGTTTTATTACATCTGAAGGAAGTAAACTCGATACGCTGAATAGACCAATTAAATATGACCATGTAAGATTTCTCTATGCTACTATGATACGGCAACTAGAACTGATATAGGTACGTACGAAGTTCTAAATTGTAGTTGACTGACTACTCTGGTTTTCAGAAGGGGTATCGGCATCGTGACAGCCGAAGAAACTCAGTTTTCATCTTTAGACGTCATAACTCTTCTTAATGAAAACCTTCTAACTACCAAGACAGAATTTGTATGGCGTGAATTATTTTTTCTCCTTAGCACATTTTAGCGAATTAGTTTTCTAAGTGTTGGGGTTGCTAACCCCATACCTAACCCCCTCCTCTACACACGCATGGAACCAGCAGTAACCCCAGAAAGGCTACAAGCGGAGATGGATAACTAAATCTACGGTGGGCCAGTGGCAGGAATCAATAGTGAAAACTTTAAGAAAAACAATTAGTACAACCAAATTTAATTCCTTTGAGTGCTATAGAGATATTTAAACCTTTCTTACCTCTACTCTTTTTGCATTTGAATTGACAATTACATCTCTTTGCTAACGTGATATGTGTTATGTCTGTGACGACGGGTTTTACAATCCACAATGCCAATTACCCTTGAACAGGTAGAATCTTTACTAGAACGTCAAGGAAAACGATATGAACAGTTCCAGGAACGTATGTTGGAGATGTTAACGAAACAAATGAATTTGAATCACAGAGGCTTTACCGATGATTCATCTAATCCGCATACAGACTCGATAATTAATTCCATTCATGAATTTCACTTTGATGGCCTAGCTGGTCTTGGTTCAAGAAGTATGAGGATTTGTTCAAGGTCGACCTCAACAAACTTGATGACGCCGCCAAAGTCAGAATCCTCTTGAGAGAGCTCGGCACGATCAAACACGAACGTTATAGTAATTTAATCTTCCCAAGGAACCCAAGAGATTTCTCTTTTGATGCTACAATTGAAACTCTGTCGCAAATCTTCGCTGAACGGTCATCTCTCTCTAATATTCGTTATCAACGCCTCGAAATAACTAAGTCAAGTGAGGATGACTGGGTAAAACACGCCGGCTTAGTAAACCGTGAATGCGAATGATTTAAACTATCATCAATGACGGAAGACCAGTTTAAGTGCCTTGTGTTTGTGTGCAGCCTACAATCTCCCGAAGATGCTGATATAAGAACCAGAATCTTAAGTAAAATTGAGCAGTGCCCAAACATCTCGCTTCAAGAAATAACTACAGAATGTCAGAGATTAGTAAATTTGAAGCACGATACCTCCATGGTCGAAAACAATAGCCGACCATCATACGTGCATTCTGTTAGTGAAAAGAAAGATTCCGGCTCACAAAAGCACAGACAACCAGCCTTCATCCCCATGCTGGTCATGTGGAGGTTGGCACTACAAGAAGTTTTGTCCATACAAAGAATATTTTTGCACTAAATGTCACAAAAAAGCCACAAAGAAACCCGATGTAGGAAAAAAACTCGCAGACGTTACTCCTCGAAAGTCTATTCCAAGAAAAACAGATCTGGTAAGATAATAAACAAAATATATTGGTGTCTCATAACCAGACAAGAATTCACCACCGAAGAAAGTATGTGACTTTGTATATGAATACACACCGTATCCATCTTCAACTTGACACAGCATCTGATATCACCCTTATCAGTCCAAAAACTTGGGATAAAATTGGAAGACCTACAGTTCACCAAACGAGGCAACTAGAAACACTTTATCGCCAACGTTAAAGCTGCGCATATTTTGATTTGGCCTATACCTATTCACTCTTTTAGGGGGCAACATGGCGGTAAAAATAGTCCGAATACATCTTCCAAACATTGCTTCGGCTGGAGACTTTCCATCTGGGACCGTATGGTTCGAGGTGCTTCTGTAAGTCGTTAAAAATCTGATGATTACTTGGCTAGTTGGCCTCTCGTCTCCCCCTTTCAGTAAAGCTCTTTTGAAGGTGTCAACGAAGCGTTCTGCTTGTCCTTTGGATTGGGGATGGTAAGGTAGGGACTGTAGATGCGTTATGCCGTTTGAACTGCAGAATCGCTTGAATGAGTCCACAACAAATTGTGATCCATTATCAGTGATCAAGGTTTCTGGCACTCCAAAACAACTAAATAAGGTAGACAGCTTCTGAATAGTTTCCGAGGCTGTACAGTTCGGCATGCTGTATATTTCTGGCCACTTCGTATATGCATCTACAATAATTAGAAACATTTTACCTTGGATTGGGCCAGCGAAATCTGCATGAATTCTCTTCCAAGGTCCAGTAGCTTTCTGCCATTGTTGGGGCTCACATTTCTTTATCCATCGAAGGCCAGCAGGCGTAGCTGCGCGCCAATGATTTCATCTTGTTTATCCAAGGGTGACCGTTGTGAAATTGCTTGAGGGTTTTATGTCGCAATAATTCTAGAATAATAATTCGGTCACCAAGCATAATGCATGAATCGGTAATAGTAGTAACAGTAGTAGGTTTGTACTTAATTTGGAAGTCGTAACCCAATGATGTGGTTCCCTATCGTTTCAATCTGTTACTTTGGTGGCAGCGATTCACTCACTATGACCGAATTATTATTCTAGAATTATTGCGACATAAAACCCTCAAGCAATTTCACAACGGTCACCCTTGGATAAACAAGATGAAATCATTGGCGCGCAGCTACGCCTGCTGGCCTTCGATGGATAAAGAAATGTGAGCCCCAACAATGGCAGAAACCTACTGGACCTTGGAAGAGAATTCATGCAGATTTCGCTGGCCCAATCCAAGGTAAAATGTTTCTAATTATTGTAGATGCATATACGAAGTGGCCAGAAATATACAGCATGCCGAACTGTACAGCCTCGGAAACTATTCAGAAGCTGTCTACCTTATTTAGTTGTTTTGGAGTGCCAGAAACCTTGATCACTGATAATGGATCACAATTTGTTGCGGACTCATTCAAGCGATTCTGCAGTTCAAACGGCATAACGCATCTACGGTCCCTACCTTACCATCCCCAATCCAAAGGACAAGCAGAACGCTTCGTTGACACCTTCAAAAGAGCTTTACTGAAGGGGGGAGACGAGAGGCCAACTAGCCAAGTAATCATCAGATTTTTAACGACTTACAGAAGCACCTCGAACCATACGGTCCCAGATGGAAAGTCTCCAGCCGAAGCAATGTTTGGAAGATGTATTCGGACTATTTTTACCGCCATGTTGCCCCCTAAAAGAGTGAATAGGTATAGGCCAAATCAAAATATGTGCAGCTTTAACGTTGGCGATAAAGTGTTTCTAGTTGCCTCGTTTGGTGAACTGTAGGTCTCCCAATTTTATCCCAAGTTTTTGGACTGATAAGGGTGCCATCAGATGCCGTGTCAAGTTGAAGACAGATACGGAGTGTATTCATATCCAAAGTCACATATTTTCTTCTGTGGTGAATTCTTGTCCGGTCATGAGACACCAATGTTTTGCTTATTATCTTGCCAGATCCGTATTTCTTGGAATAGACTTTCGAGGAGTAACATCTGCGAGTTTTTTTCCTACATTGAGTTTCTTTGTGGCCTTTTTTGTGACCTTTAGTGCAACAATATTCTTTGTATGGACAAAACTTCTTGTAGTGCCAACCTCCACATGACCAGCATGGGGATGAAGGCTGGTTGTCTGTGCTTTTGTGAGCCGGAATCTTTCTTTTCACTAACAGAATGCACGTATGATGGTCGGCTATTGTTTTCGACCATGGAGGTATTGTGCTTCAAATTTACTAATCTCTGACACTCTGTAGTTATTTTTTGAAGCGAGATGTTTGGGCACTGCTCAATTTTACTTAAGATTCTGGTTCTTATATCAGCATCTTCGGGAGATTGTAGGCTGCACACAAACACAAGGCACTTAAACTGGTCTTCCGTCATTGATGATAGTTTAAATCATTCGCATTCACGGTTTACTAAGCCGGCGTGTTTTACCCAGTCATCCTCACTTGACTTAGTTATTTCGAGGCGTTGATAACGAATATTAGAGAGAGATGACCGTTCAGCGAAGATTTGCGACAGAGTTTCAATTGTAGCATCAAAAGAGAAATCTCTTGGGTTCCTTGGGAAGATTAAATTACTATAACGTTCGCGTTCGATCGTGCCGAGCTCTCTCAAGAGGATTCTGACTTTGGCGGCGTCATCAAGTTTGTTGAGGTCGACCTTGAACAAATCCTCATACTTCTTGAACCAAGACCAGCTAGGCCATCAAAGTGAAATTCATGAATGGAATTAATTATCGAGTCTGTATGCGGATTAGATGAATCATCGGTAAAGCCTCTGTGATTCAGATTCATTTGTTTCGTTAACATCTCCAACATACGTTCCTGGAACTGTTCATATCGTTTTCCTTGACGTTCTAGTAAAGATTCTATCTGTTCAAGGGTAATTGGCATCGTGGATTTCAAAAACTAGTCTCGACTGTTATGTTTTTTACTTGAGTAACGCCCAAAACCACTGTATATATAACGACCCCGGAACGTTAGAACCTCTACACCGTTGTAAACTAATAAGACGAAAGACGTTGGGAAGCACTTATTGATGGAATCAAATATATACAAGAAAACATGTGTATTTATGCAATTATAGATATAATCGATATTGCCATGGAAGTTTTCAAACATTTAGTCGATAAGTTCGTCAAACGACTATGTGCGTGGGTGGCTTCTCGATGGCTATCCTAACAGTATGGCAGCATGAACTGATGTACGAACGTATGAAGGTCTACGTTACAATTGTTTGATTGAGTTATTTAAACAATCAGGTGATTGTATTTTAGTAATAACCACTAATGCATAGTCAGTACTGTTTCATTAAAGAGATGATCTCATTTTATAAATGTTGGGAATATGCAAATCACAAGAATCTAAAAGTGATATAAGATCTAGACAACTGATTACATAATATAAGCAATAGTAAATCATATGTTGAGTTGCTGTCATTTAGTAAACATCCATTCCACCATTGTAAATGCCATAAATGAAAAAGGATTAGTCATACCAACAGGGAATATAAACGCTGTGTTGCTGGTAATTATGTAGACAGCATTTTAGCCAACAAAGTGAACTATATAACTTTGTAAGTCAAAAGAACAAAACTTCCCAAGCCAATCAATTCGTTTCTTCATTAAAACAGTCTAGGTTCTAAATTTATTTTGGATATATGCAGTCAGGATTCCTTTATATCATACAATTACTTAAGGAAAATATCTTCCGCATAAAAGATTTGTAAAATAAAGCTTTCAAATTATTGACTCACCGGTTGACACAATCGATTGAATAGAGTAAAATGTGATATATAAATAAGTAAAAACGAATCCAACTTACTCCATTATTTTCAGCATAACCTGAAACTGAATACGTATACATTAAGTATTTTCCAGAACTTGTCGCCGTAGGATTGCATTCATCAGTGTCAGGATCATGGTCTGCGCCCCAACTATGCCCTAGTTCATGTGCTGTGATTAGTTCGGCCAAAGCGTTTACTAGTTGTTGACCATTATAATCTACATAAGTAGTCCATCCTGTATTTAAATAGAGATTCTTTTTATTATGCCGTCGGACTAATTTGGTAAAGAAAAAAGAAAACAATGACATCGACTAGTCACCATTGATGGAAATTTATTTTTAAAACAACAGAAATTTCATTGAAATCATGAACTGATCAATGTTAGACAAACATTAGGAATTTGGGAGTTCTAGACGATCGTTTCGTCCCTATGTGGGACTCATCGGAGTTTTAGTGGGAGGCTGTGACCGCTGGAGTTCAACCGTGTCGGGTGTGAGGCAGTTACCCAACGAAGACAGCGGATTAAGTCACGCAATATCATGCATGGATTGATTGACCTTAGACATTAACAGCATTAGTTCCCGGCTCAATGGTCTAGAGGTTAAGCGTTGGCGCATGAGGTCAAAGCGGTTGGGTTCGATTCCCGTTGGCGAGGTTGTGGATGCGTACCGCTGGTGAGTCCCATACTAGGAAGAGACGGCCGTACAGTACGTTCAGGTTCCTAATTGTGGAGTAACATTGCTCAGTTCATTATTTCAACGGAACTCAACAAACTCCACAACCCTATAATAACATTAGTAGAAATATGTAAAATTCAGTAACCGCATACAATTTTGTCAGCAGCGTTGCAAAGACTAATGATACTACTCGGCTAGACATGAAAAAAATGTAGGATGACTAAGAAACAAATAACTTGGTCCATTTAACAGAAGTGTGATTTAGTCTTTTCAGTAGTACTTTCATTTTACTTATAATGAAAAGTGATTGAGAAAATATATTTCCATAAACCTTTTTATATAGTTATGCTATCTTTAAAGTAAACTGTAAAATAATTAATAACACTACTAAACAGAAGTTTTCAATAATGAGGCGTGGTGTATTAGTTACTAAATCACTTAACCTCTAACTAATCAACTCCATTTTGGAAGCTGGATAATATTGCTAATCATAAAAAAAATAACCCAATGAATAAAACTGAGCTTTAGAAGTGAGTTTTTTTAATGTGTAAATTCTGTCTGATATTTCTTTCTGAATTACAGTTTATGAAAAACACTGGTCAATACCGTTGAAACAACTGATAAGTAGTACTATCTCAGTATTTTGTAATATAATAAAATTATTATTTTGAACCTACCTTTTATTTCTTAAATCTTTATCTAAACTAAGAAAATAATTATCTATAGAGATTGGTTATTCAAACACTGAAAACACATGCTTTTACGGTATTATGTTTCAGCAATGAAAGAGGATTAATCTTGACATCATGACCTAACATTTAGGTTTCGATTTGTTATAAATAATCGATTAAAAAAGCGTATAGCTTCTAATCACTTATGATATCTAATCACTATTTATTTTTATGCTAATATTCGGTATACAAGGATGTTATGTTATCAGATAAAAGGTTGATTCATTTGACTAGTAGTGTTCGTATCTGTGGTCTCCCTTCGTTAGAGATCTGTGCCAGTGATTTACCGTCGTGAGCAGTCATTATTAGGTCTCATTCTAACACAACGTTTTCATCCATTGATTAGTTGACGAATTCCCAAACGTTCTTTATGATATATCACGTACTCTGCCTCAATACTATACGTCATCATTTCACAGATGTGAACTCCATTGATTCCTCAAAAAAATCTTTATGCAATAGTATTATTACAAGTTACTTGTTATTTGTATAAGTTGTTGAACTCATGAAATTCGTAGCAGTCAACTCGAAGATTTCTCTTTTAAGCTACACTAAACGGTCTTTGGTTTCGAAATACTGTAAACATTAGTTAGTCATGACCAATGTATAGCCTGGTGTAGATAAGCTTTGGCCAAAATTGACATACTACATTAACACAGCGTGATGAAATCAACAAAATGCGTAACAAAAGAGATTTGTAGCAGCAATTAAAATGAGAACGACTAAGCATGAATGACAGGGCTAAAAAAGACAGAGTCCAAAGGTACTCATGAAGCAATAACGGGATTTCAAATGCGGAGGAAAATGAAAAGTGAATCTAGGTGTGCCATTAGGAACGATCCTGGACCATTCCAACCAAAATTTCTAGCCACTGATTTCACTTATCATGTCATCTGTGTTATCAATGAGAGGTCAACTGATTTCTTGATAGAAGATTCCGTAGTAACAATGGCGTAATATTTCTCTATTCTGCGTATACCGTTTCGGTTATCGCCTAGTGTCCTAAGCTCTAACTAATTATAGACTTCGTCTAGCAAGGCTGACCTTGAATTGAGGTTGAGAGCCAACCTAACTCCTATTGGACCAGAACGTATGCCTATCTCACCAGGCGTTCGATCCAATGACAGAAAGTTGAGGTTGTGGTATATCTTATGTGAATTAACTCATACATGAATTCCCTGAATCTATACCAACATAAGTTCGAAATTATAAAAACATGCGTGTAAATACCCGAAAAGGGGAAGAGAATAAAGAAGGCAAATAATTATGTAGCCATAACTAAAAATTTTGTAAAACATACAGCTATGGTTAACGGCGTCATCGGAAGCTCACAGTAAGAAGAAATAAATAGAGTAATATATTCTCTAACAACAAGTGTGGATAAAAATAACCTGCAAGTCAGTAATATACGCTATATTTTCTTTGATATTTGCTCCTTCACAACAGTTTACATCTTACTTACATGGGTCCGATACCATGTTTTGTTTCGGTCGGCACTAGCTTTTTTCCAACCTAATCCGATACTACTAATCATCTCCCATCAAGGTAGATGGTAGTTGGACATATTTAACACATGTATTAACCAGCTCGGTGGATAAAAATTCACTACTTCATCAATTGACTTGTCATCCTTATGTAGCAGCCTTGATCTAACCTCAGAATGTAACATTTGCAGATTTCATCACCCAACAAACCGACATGAATTATGTGCTATGATTTAAGAAAGTAATTTCTGTGTTAATATTTGTCAGTTAAGAATGTGCGAATTAGTAATATGGCATGTAAATGAAAAACTTGCACACTTACGAGGTGGAGAACAAATACCGCCTAACTTTTTTGGATCCGGGGAGGCCAACCAAGACATCCCCAAAATGCCTTCATCTATTCTTTTGTAACTAAGTAAATGAGCCAAACAAGACTGTTTAGCATCAAATCGACTAAATGCCTGGGAGAAATTCGAGTAAAACAGGTGAGATAGTTCATTAAACATGGACAACATTTAAGTATACATCTGGATATAATAAAATGTTGTTTGACATTAACATAGATTCTACAATTAACATCTCTCTACAATAATTTGTACATAAAACCACGAAGTAGAAATTAGCTTAAGGAGAGGTAAACTGGGTGATGAGATTAAATTCCGGCAAGAACAGATATGGTTAGAACAATTGTTGTGTGATCGGTAGTCAGATTGAGAGTATAATTAACGAATTCCTATGGTGATCACAACAAAACACAGTGTGAATTCATGAAGCCTTCAACCATCGCTTTGAAGCAAACAAAGATTGCTACGGAGTCTCTAGTTAGGATCATAAATGTGATATAATAAGGTCTGGGTAATATGGCTGTAAAACATTACTCATTCAGCAGACACTCATTCATATGATTTTGCTATGGATGCAGACGATCCTAAAATTTAAGTTATTTCACAGCTTTTCTCCCAAGATGTAACATAACTCAGAATCGTGTAATATTTTACCACTTCTAACGATTTTTCAATAAGATGATTAGTACACACTGATATGTGATTGTTTGCCTTTCGGATGAAACGATCATTGTTTACAATAAAGCGAAATCTAGATATTCTAAAATGGTAAGGAAATGAAAGTGAGGAATAGCATTGTGACTAATATTTCTTGATCTGTACACAATTGGTAGACACACATAAAAACACGTCTGAATCATTTGAAAGAGGAAACTAAGTCCATAATACATGTTACACAAACGGAGCGCTCCAGCCAGCGAGCTTCTCAGGTTTACAAATATATATTACTTTGTGTGATTTAAGTAGTATCTATGCTAAAGTATAAAGTACTGCAACTCGTCATAAAGCATGAGTTATCACGTAAAAATACGTTTGATGCAAGGCAACTAAATCACAGCAAAAACCAATAAAATGAAAGTTAGAAATTAATTACTTGAACATAACACTTATGTATTATGCACGGTTGGATGTTTTTTTTATCAACTGAAACATTTAAAATAAACAATAAAGCGCATCGATAATATCTTCAAATCTAGTAATTAAGGACAGTAAACTGGAAAAATGTTATGGGCACAATCTACCTACCAGTAGATTTTTATCGCTGGATTTTTAAAGTGATTTCGGCCAACACTTAACTGGAGAAAATTTACAACAAATTTGCACGTAAAATTTGTCGGTGCATATTATTTTAAACTTGGCAAACAGCTAGACTAACGAAACAGTGATTAATTAATAGGATATCGCTTAACTGTACCAGAAGGCTATACGGTCTACCATGAATTCTATTACTGAGCTTTCATTCCAAGTTGTGTTTTGAAACATTCAGCTGGGTAAGGTAACTTGGGACCATATGGAAATGTAATTTCTATTGGATTTATTTTATCAAGAAAACTATATATTATCGGAATTAATTATTATTATGTCGAATTCAGACTCATTTTTGATAATAAAACAAGTATATGAGTGTGTGCTTATACATGTTATAATACTTTTCTATCACATTAAATTCTTAATAAAAGGAACTGCAAGATTTGATTTGCCTACAGCTGAATTTCTTGAATAAACCTTTATGTTGTCGTACACAGTCTTAGTAGGCATATAGTCAAAACAGGTGGCTATGTACACAGTCAGCAATTATGTTTCTAGAATGTAAATTTATACCGTTAGCAGAAGCAGAAAATAATAACGAATTTCTAAGAGAAGAATAAACACACGTATACTGAATAATAACAGGAACACAACAAAATGAACCAATAACAAAGGGCTAGTCATATTTATACAACTGGAGAAATTTCAAGATTGGTAGTCAAATAAAAAGATGCAGAGTATTAACCAGTTTGGGATTAAATGAGTTTAAAGTGGTGGGCGTTTGACTCAAATGCTATCAATTGATTCACTCTTATTAACTGATATCAACAGTAACCGCTATGATTTTAACAGGATATACTTGAAAATAAATATTCATCAGAAACTTACGCGCAACAGGGATGTGGCTGTCCAAATTTTTCCACCTACATCAGTTGGGGAATTATAGTGACTGTAATCCGCTGTCCCTGACTCATGAATTACGATCTACATTGTTGAGAGGAATAGTAATATTACATCGCAATAATGGCGATAATGATATTAAGGATAATTAAAGTTGTAATACACTTACCTCGTGCAATAAAAAGCCGTAGCCAGTCATTTCACCATGTTTATCATTCAGAAATTTTGAAGTGAGAAATAAGTAATTTAGCCGGTCAAATACTTTAATCTTTGGGAAAAGAGTAAATTATTAAAGCGACATGATAACACAACGAAAAAAAACTAACAACATGACTGATAGTTTTAGGTCCATTTCTGTTTCCTAAATTAGTGAAAAAATCATAATCAACGATAAGGGTAAGACGACAAAGTCTACGTTGTAACTGTATGGGGTTAGCACGTCTTCGTCTAATGTAAGCACCTGTGAAAAAATAAGAGAATGGAAATCGGAACATGACTTGGTGAACAGTTAAGTGGTTACGAAATTAATAAAATACGGAGTGAAGAATTCAACAACTTGAATGTCAGTTGAGAGAAAGTTTAAAAAATTAAGTGATATCGAGACCCCGCGATTGTGAAAATTCATTTTCAATCTGTTGTGTCTGAATAATTCTTTCTGACAACTTTTTAAGTCGCTTAATGGGAAAACGTAAAACAGAGTTAGACAAGAACACCGATAAAATGTTGTTTTCTAGATATTAAGATCTAGAATATATCTTATTTCTGTTAACTGTCACATATCTGACCTAAGGATTGGTGCACATTAATTTATAATGCAAAAACAATGTTTGAAATAGATAACAGAGACTATTTATGTGACTGGATTAGAAACGGACCTGCAGCATGTATTTATACACAATTATATGGGCACTTATCCCTAATGGATTCACCATCATGATAAACTTGAACATCAAACAAGAAATGTTAGTTAGTACCGAATGAGTAACATGACAAGAATGATCACTATATTGGGTCAACCTCTAATCAATTATAGCTACTCGAAACTCGGGGGCAAACATCTTTCAGTCAGTCAGTTGCAACGTAAACTTCGCACGTACGTACATCAGTTCATGTTGCCATACCATATTAACACAGAGACCCAATCGTCAATTGAAAACCCGTGGTAGTAGAGGTAGTAGAAGTATTAGCAGTAATCGGAGAGATTAGGGTTCGAAAATATTATTCAAGAAGTATAGTCTAGTGAAACACACTTAAAAAGAAGAAGATAACGGTGATGAAGAATCCAGAGGATTACGATTTGAGAGAAGCCAAAGAATGGATTCACCTCCTCCATTGCGAACGGTTTTGAGCCATGTCACTGAAAGTTTCTAACGATCGGCTACGATGGTCTTGTGGACCACAACCATTTTGTCTAAACCTACCAACATGACTCAGTACAGTTGTCGGTGACTTCACGGATTTGTGCCGTGTTTTAAGCTGGCAGCACAAGCTTTCTCCCAACCTACCCCTACACCATGAAACATAGCTGGACGAGGCAGTCGGTGGTTAGGCATACGCCACACATGTCCCAAACTCTTCAACTGATGAAGTTTAAATACTTTATCTATCGATCTGCCATCCTTACCTAGTTTTCGTCTCCTAACAGGAGCATTGCTTGTCCCAGGGTATACAAGCAATGCTCCGAAGATATCTATGATTGAATACTGATAACCTACAAATAACTTCTACTCTGACTGGCCATGTTTCGTAGCCATGGGTGGAATTTAACGATGAGAAATCGTACGAACTTGTAGCAATGATTTAATTGACTCTCTGGTGAACAAGTGACATCTACTGACAGACGAACAGATATAGACAACCTACAGCATGGCACAAGTGAGAATTGGTTTAATTCATGAGGACATAGAGGGAAGAGTCGTACAGTTTTAATTTTAGAATTGTAACCAAGGTAGATTCTTTCATTTAAAAGGCTTCAAAACAATTTCATAAAAACTTCATTAGGAAGCAAAAGCACGGTAGCTACTGTTTTTTCTTATTCCTGCGACATCTGACGATGTCTCAAACCAAGTTGTATCGATCTCCAGAACAGCAACTAGCGAAACGTGATGGAATGACATATCCCGGTACTATATAGTTCTAGTTTTTATACCACTGTAACCTGTTACAAACTAACCACTTCTTTGCCTTTTTCACCTAACTCCAAAAGTTGGCAAATAATGCACGATGTGGAGACCCTTCATAAAACAGGAAGAAGCCCGTGAACCCAATGTTTTAAGATGGTTAGACCGTAATCGAACATACTGCAACAACACTAGTTTCACTGTGTTGCCACGGAATGTCAGCAACACTGAAGCGACAACGATGGTCAGAGACAGAGTTGTTGACTATATTCAGTTGTGAGAGAACGTTTTATGATTATAGATCAGAGCTGCTCTAACCTTTTACAATCAGACTAATATAACTGCAAAACATGGCCTAAATTTACAATTATGTGAATTATTGGATCAATCACCATAAATGCATAATTTAATTTGGTCTCCACAAGCAGCATGTATTATTGTAAAGAACAAAAAATTATCGACAGTCTCACATTCTTGCAGCGGTAAATAGTAATTATTTCACTAGTTAGGTTTTCATGTAATGCCTTGAAGAGCACGAGGGTACACAGTAAGAACAGAATATTGAGTGGTAAGTGTTTTTCAAGTAAAAACCATAGTATAAAGACAGATTGAAAGTTACAGTTACCAAAAAATACATAACGAGTAGCAGGAATGATATGATTTCTTGTTATGGGGTACGGTTTGACAAACGAATTTCCATCCGTTAAAATCAAAGAAAATGTCGATTAACAGACGATGTTCACCGATAAAATGAATTATAGCGTGAATATTAGATGCACTTACGTCCCGTTTTATCATTTCTCAAAAAAATGGAAAATATGTATTATCACGATCCAAATTTTACAAACCTCAGAGAAGCAAACAATTTCGTTGTCATTTAGCTTGTAAGCGAAATGGTATGTATATATATATATATATATATATATATATATATATATATATATATAATTTTTTATCAGATTTAAATGTTATTAAACTACCACTAACTAACCAAATATACCAGTTTCTAGGGCCAATAAAGTGGCTGATTTATAACTCATCGAATTACTAAAATAAAGATAGCAAGTCAATGAAAGGTAATCAAACAATTACTTCAGTATTTTTTTGAGTTGAATATCTCTTAGACGATACATTAACATGGAAGTATTTCCAAAATGGTTTGTGTAGTCGGATAATGGCTAAGAATAACAACTAAAATATTATGATTTACCTCGATAACAAAAATATCTGAGTCTACATGAATATGAGCGCTGAGTATTAACGTGTTTTCTTCCAAATGAGCTAATACGAATGAACGATCTGAACCTGATACATAACCAGTATGTAGTTCTGCATATTTTATTTTCGGATAGAAAGAGTGGGTACCATTTGTATTAATAAATCTAACTGACAAGTTAGAATTGCGAAACGATGTTTCACGATGAAGAATCAAATACCATGATCTAAGGAAATGAGAAAACGACAGTAATTACCTTCCCCACGCATAAAATACAGTTTGTCTAGTCTGTTGTCCATTAATATCTCGAGCAATACGAAAGGATGGTCTCTCAAACAACTCATATCGTCCCAGCTGAGAAAATATATCACATTCTAAAAACATTTCAAAATGATGCCATGGGATGCATTACCTGTTCTCGGGGTATACTGAATAAATAAAGTCAGAATAAGAAGTAAACACATTGTTCACAGCCAATTACTAGCTGTATAAACCTCATAGTGTATGTTGGTAACGGTAAAATTGAATATCAGTATTTGGAGAGTCTATGTAGTAACATGAGTTGAATTCATATTGGGTAAATTATTAAATGTATATAAAGACGTCAAAAGAAAGATCTGAAATTAAAAGCATACAGTTCATGAAGGTCGGCAAACTACAAACGATTTATTGACAAATAAGAATACTTCTAAAATGTGGGTAAAAAGTTGAATTTAAAAATGGTGAATTGTTTGCGGATATAGTAAGGTTTACCATGAGTGGTAATAATTCAAAACATCTGCGTTAACGAGACTCGTTGGAAACTGTGCTAACAAGGCAAGAAAACGCGATCTTCCGTTTAAATGTCCGGGAAGTAATTCAGCCCACTAACAAATTTATTAATTTATGTGGTGCACAAATAATTCGGCACCTTTTTTGCACCGATATTTAAGTGTTCAGATGAGGATAGATAGAAATGCATTATTATGACGCTAAAAATGGAAACTACTCTAAGATGATTATTCAAGGAACGATAGAGGTCCGAGACAAATTCCTTTCAATACTCGAGTATAACGTGTTGAAACAGCTGTTACTTGTTAAAATGCTTCGGAGGGGAAATATTTTGTCAGATACGTTAGACCAAAAACCCGGCTTCGGCAGAATTTTAGAATTTATTCGAAAACCATTAAAAATTCTTGGTTCCACTCAAATCTTCAATGAACTTTCCGAAAACTCAAGATTGTTTCGAGTATAAGCTTTAAACCATCAGGAAATGAGCAGTATTTTAGTTGCATTTATCCAAAGTTTAATGTGAGGTCCGAATACAGCTTCCCTAAAATTTATTTACTTTTCCTAGATATCGGAAGTCATGACACTTACTAATTGCAAAATAATCAAGCGAGATCGAAACAATGTGAGAAGAGGAAACCGGTGTCAAATGAATAAAATAAAATGCACGGTAACATCCGGATTCGAACCGCCTTACAAAACTACAAAATTGTTATTTTTTTAAATTGAGTTACTAGGTCAATGTCCAATATTCAATGTCATATTCACAAGCAAGCATAAACCGACATTTTTATTTGTCGTCCACTTTTTTCTTTCGGGAAAGTTTCACATATTTGATGTTTTTCAATCGATGGCAGTCAAACCACTCGAATGCACCAATTTCAGTCGTTTGGCAGTAATTTATGTATTTATGTATCCCTTGATTTGAATGACTAATTCTAAGACTCCAACATTTGTTTTGACCTTGTAGTAGCACAATTCTACGAGGAAAACGTAACTGGTGAAAAGGAAAGTTTAACAATTGTACTCGCTTTTTTAACTGTGCTAAAAAATACTTAAACACGTGCAGATTCATAACTTGCTGCTAGTTATGTCGCCAACTTTCGAATTCGAATAAATTCGTTACCTTGGATTTATTAACACTTAATTGACGGGCTAGTTACTAATAAATGATGTGTTTAATTCCCTCAATTCTCTACATTGTAACCACCACTTGAACATGCCTGCGTTGCTCCCCATTCATCACCGCCAGTTCGACTTGGATTCAGGTATTGTCACTCCGAATGGCAGAACGAACTAAAACGTTGTACGATTCTCATTTTTGTCGACTCCTCCAGTCTTTTCTAAACATTTGAATTTCTTTGTGGTTGCTTTCCATTTGTTTGGACTTTGGAAGAGCCTTCAACACAGTACCTAACGCACGCCTAATCGCTAAGTTGCCGAAATGAGCTTCACTCACCCATTTCTATCTTGACTCAGAAAATACCTTGAGAATAGAGGGATAAGCAGAGTGAACGCGAGTTGACGAGTCTCAACATTGGGAGTTCACTTCTGTTGCTGATATTTATTGATGGTCCGTCAGACACAGTTAACCTAGCGGCGTTCATCTACTCAGACGATGAAAAGATATGGAGAGAACAGGATTCAGCTGAGTTACAAAAGGATCTTGCATCTTGTGAAGAATAGGCAGCGAAAAATATTTTTAAAATAAGCCAGAATAATGTTACGTTATTTGCAATAAGCCTCACATGACTCAAACGATTAACACCCATAATGGTAGTCTCCTGCCTAATGTCTCCTCAGTGCACGATCTCAGTTTCGTAAACACTGAAAGCTTCCACGCCAGCTCGAACTATATAGGGGACACAGTAAAAGCACTTTATGCGAAGACAACTTAGTGCTCTCACTCCAAAACTATTCTTAACGATGTTTGAGACTTATAGCAACCTCATTGCATTTCCTCTCCCCAAAAGAGACATAAATCTCTGGAATCGAATGCAGAGACGAGCAACTAAAGTGATGATGGGTTTGCAGAACAAAAGTTACGAAGAAGAATTCCAGCACTTGTAATTTTTTTCGCTGAGTTACTGTAGAATCACAGTTGGTCTGACTATGGCGCACTACATATTGAGCACGCCAAACCATCCGAGCACGAGCTCCTTACAGATGCATCAAAACCATTCATTTCAAGGCAATCCTCAAAAAAATGCGCATGAAAAAGCAAATACTCAGGTTCGTGCACACTTTTTCTCATTGCTACTTCAAATTCACTGCCCGCTAATGTGACTACAGACTCACCAGTGGACAGCTTTAAGAAGAGACTTGACAAACATATTCTGAACTATGGAGTATGATCAAACTTGTGGACCTACTGTGTCTGATACGCGTCTTGTGACCTGCTAGTTGTTATTATTGCCATCTCCTCAGATCACTCAATTAATCTGTCTCGCCTATTATCTCTGTTTCCTCTCACTTGCTTACACTTCGGTCCTCTCTCACAATCTTCACTACCAATCAATTGAATAAATTATCTATATATTACTTAGTTCTGAAATCTTATTCATATTAACAGTAGAATTTTTATCCTTATTATTCTCCACATTGCAACTAACCGACCTCACATCTGGTAACGTGATAACTGCTGACATCCAGAAACCCAACTTTCCTGAAACTAACGTGCTCATTTAAATCACGGGACTGACTGACTAGAATTAGACAGTCGAGTGGCTAGACCCCCATTCATTGAACACGACCAAACACCTGGAACCGTACTGAAAGGACAAGAATGGAGCGCAAATAAATCATTTATTTTATATTAACTCGTGTAGAAGATATTAGATAGTGGATATGTTACGTGAATGATCTTCCAACTGGTTATTTTTCGACTGCTGTCAGCTTTGTGATAAACGAACTCATCCAGATCATAAGATATAGTAGCCTAGCATTAACTATTTAGTTAACTAAATTTATTGCAGTTCCATTGTTAAAAAACAGTGAGCAGATCTCAACAGATAATAAGAGCTGTACCGAAATAACGATAGAAAATACAAAAAGATCGACTAGCTTTTCGTAACTGTTGACCAAGTTTTACAAAAATGGGTATAAAGATATTGTCTGTTGAAGACTCAATATTAGCACTAATAATGAAAGCCTCGTTACATGCATGTGGATTTTTTGCTGTTCCCTATTTCCACTGGTAGCTATTATTGTCATACGGAGATTTCTTCACACGGAATCTTTTCATTAGAAAAATAAATGTATTATGTTTGGTTGATAATGAAATATCAGCAAATAAACTGCCTATAGACTATAACACTTCCCTGCATTTTTTTATTAAAATCGACTTTTTCAAAGTCGTGGTCCTTTATATCGATATAGCCCGTTATATAGCTTTTTAAATCATAGGAATTTGTGTGAAGTTCCCATTAATAAGAATAGTTTCTTATATCAATAAAGTTACAGTTATATTACTGGTCACGAAGTACTCCGTCAATGTTCCTATAATCATAAAAAAGTCTCATCTTTAATTCAGGTGCATATTATAATTTTGAACATGTCGCTAATGTCTGGTCGCCTGCATGCAATTACCATCTGACTTCATCCATGAAACAGGTTGGCATTGGCGCAATATTCCAAACCACATAAGTATGATTAGATAAATGTTAAAAATAACAAAGTGATGTAGTAGAAATAAAGAAATGGCTTAAATTTAGTGAATATGGTTTGTAAAGACAATGGGAAGGGACGTTTGAATAGCAAAACGAGTGGAGGATAAGAGATTGATGCATCTGCACAGGTGTTGAAGATTATGGCCTATCACCTATTCCTGTTGGAAATAATAAGTATTTAATTAGCATGAAATGTATAATTTTAAAGTTTTTGGGTGTTTGCAGGGCAACTAGGTCTCTTGAAATTTGCAGTCAAAGGAGTAACTGCTTATGCGTTCATCCATACACCCAATCTCTCTCGTTAACCGGTAACACAATTCAGTCCATTTTCTTGAAATCTAGTCATTACATTTTCGTCAGAATTTTCAAGACTATGGGTGACTCTTATTATGCACCATGACTTTAAGATATAAAATGAATTCTCGATTGACTCGTCCACCATTGTCTAATCAATGTTTCTAGTTTCTATGAACGGCACTTAACTGAAGAAAACGAACATCGTCATTGAGTTCATTTACTGATACCTGTCAAATGGGCTCTGATAATAATCAGCTTCAGTTGTTTTTATAAAGTACTATCTAACGCTTAGGTGAACTCAATGAGATACCCAAACAACTGACTTCATAAATCCAACTCGTGCTTGTTAAAAAGCTTGTACTATAGAAATAGATATATGTTGGTACATGTAGTAGTGAGTTTACTCGATCTGTCTACCTATTTGATTAGTGATGCATTCTTTCGAAATTTAATTTGAGATCTGTGCTAAGTGGATGATTTCATTGAGATAATAATGTGACTAATAAGTTCGAGTTTAGGTACTTTTAACTGTAGCCACATTGTCTGTATGATTATCAGTGTTGTTACGCGAGTAGCCAAACCGTTGTTACTAAATTCCTTTGTGCGTTTCGCATATATATATATATATATATATATATATATATATATGACCACTGCCAAGGAAGTGCCACCCACTACCTTCTCGTGATGGAGGTGCTTCCAGCTGAAATGAGAGGACGACATGTGAGTGTATAGTTCTTTGACGAGTTCGTGAGTACGGAAATTCCACGCAGATGAGTCTGACAATTGATTTCGAACTTATAATGCACATGGGATCTAGGATCCCATATGAATTTTATGCTAGATATTTTTGGTAAAACTCAGCAAATATGTTTTCAGTTCCATCATAATTGTTCACAATTCAGTTTTTGTTTATAGTGAAGTAGATTTCGAAATTTCTTTCCAAATAAACTTTCTAAATTACAAACCTTAACGTGTATTATATTTGTTCAAATTGAATTTTAGGTATTTTTCCGATCATACGAGTGTTTTCATTTGATAACCATGACTCTCAATTATAATATTGCATTTAAATCCTATTAGTTTATGTATATGATTGTTTTAGAAATTTCCTTTAAACACTCATGTATAGATTAAATTGATAGTCCTTTGTAAAATCTCTAACGTATAAGTATCTGAATGTTTGATTTCCTAACTCGAAACCGCTCAGTTTGTCTCAGCTACCAGTACTGTGCGGTTACCAAAAGTGAAGAAAATGGAGTATGAACCTATTAACTGATGGTTAAAAGCCGAAAAAATCTTAGTTATGTGTTAACAGGGAAATAGAGTAAGTTTCAAATTTTTGGTTGTATTTCCTTGTTACCAGTTGCCAAAAACTATAAAATTACAATAATAATAGTATAGACATGTAACTAATACTTACTTTTTTCTTTTGCAGATGTCCTGTATATACAACATATTAAGCTTTATAGCAGGATCCGAAATACTATAGTGCTTCAGTTTACTACTGAACAGTTGAATTTCTTTTTGAAAACATGTCAGCTTCTCGACTACATCGGGCACTTTATCAAAAGTTCCACTTCTACAACTATTGTATGTATAATATTCGACGAACATTTTGCAGCAAACCAAATTATGAAATATCCACACTATTTGGAAATGTAACGAATCAGGACATTTCAAAATCATACATTCACTCTGTTTTATCACCACTAGGTGATTTCACTGTTTCAATTAGTGATTGTAAAGTTATGAACAATAACTTACATTCAACTCATATATCATTTTGGCCTTGTCTTCTAGAGTACATTGGTTATCACGATTATCCTGAATTAAGAAAATCATTAACCGACTACATCTTGGATGATAAAAACAAACATAGCAATGCTACTTTAATGTGTACCTTGAAACTTTTAAAAATTCAAGAGCGTTATACTGAACTCAAAAGTTTATACAACGAACTTTTGCTTCGATTAAATCCCGTAGAAAAGAAGGTTCTCCAAATTGGTTTGGCGAAAATTTTAGCACAAACACCATTTTGGAGAGAGGCACTAAAATTATTATCGTCCTCAGAAGGGAAAAACTGTGATGATTCAGGGATTTATGAATATATGTGTTTTTCTGCCTTAAAATTTGACACTTTCTCTTCTTTTTTCGAATGTATACAACTACTGAATTCTTCACCGCAAGACAAGATTTTCTATGAATTTTTTAATAAATTAAATGAGTTAGAAGAAAAAGAAGCTATTTATTTAGTCAGTCACTTGTTCCAAATATTGCACACACGCCAATGGATAATTACTTATAATGTTGCTGAATGTATTCGACGTTGGTTTCAAAATTTAAAGCACGAACAATGGGTGGGAGATTTATCTGCTTATGTTAATAGGTTAGTTATTAAACTAATGTGACACTATTACCTAACAATAACATTTCCGTAGAGGCTATTTATGTTCAGTATGTAGCAAAAAACTACCACCACCAGACATGTCACAGTTTCCTTTTTCCCAAATGGCTGATACGTTTTGTGAAACAGTGATTAAGGTAATATGTACTTTTTTTCACAATTTGACTTTCGTTAATTTTAGGGGACAGACATTGAAAATCTATATCTAACAGCAACATCAGACGAAGTTTTGACTCTAAAGCGATTTCTTGATTCTCAAAGTGAACCTTTAGATTGCATCATCGATTTTTTAAATCTATTGAATATGCGTAAACTTTGGTCCCTCGATTCTCCAGGATTATTGGTTGCTCAGGTAACTTTAATTCACTTAACAAGTAGCTGAACAAATTTAAATATTTTCAATGTCTACTCGTGGTTTGACCACGCTGTTTGGTGGCTAGTAATACAACCCATGTTCTAAAACCAAAGTGGGTAAATCAGAGTTCAGATATATCACATACAGGTTATAAGGCAAGTATTTTAACCATTAAGCCTATACTGAAACATCAGTAGTTTAGTTTCTAACTTTAATCCGCTAGTATGTGCCTTCAAAACAGTTATTTTTGTTTGAGTTTATATATATATAATTATATCATAAGTTCAGTAAATAATGATACTCATGGTTATCATCCATTATCAAATCAATCAGTAATTTGAATTTTTTTCCAATCAATATTTCCGCTACTAGAAAGAAGTACATTTACAAAATCAGTCAGTCCGTCAGTCGATCGCAACGTAGAATTTCGTACAAACGTACATCGGTTCAGTTTGCTATACCGCATTAGCACAGTTCAAATCCCGTAGTGGTAGGGATAGTAGGAGTATTGGCGGTAAGGGAGAAGATTGAGGTTTGAAAATATTATTCAAGAAGCATTAACCAGTCAGATCAATTTGACAAGCGAAAGATGAAGGTCATGATTAGAATTTGAGAGAACACAATAATCCGTGCATCTGCGTGATTGCACACGATTTTGAGCCGCTCCACTCAACGCCTCTAACCATCGGTTACTATCATCTCGCGGACTCCAACCAGCTAGCCTACATCTACCAACATGACTCAGTCACTTGTCAGTCACTTCATGGATTTGTTCCATGATTTTGTTTGGCCACCTTTACGTTTCTTCCAACCTACTCCTACACCACAAAACATAGCACGTCAAGGCAGTCGGTGGTTGGGCATACGTAACACATGTACCAACCACCTCAAGTGATGAAGTTTAAATACTTCATCTATTGATTTGCCATCCGTACCTAGTTCTTTTCTCCTTACAACAGCATTGCTTACTCGGTCGTCCCAGGATACACGATCAATGTTCAGAAGATATCTATGATCGAGTACTAATAACCTACGAATGTCCTCTACTCTTACCGGCCATGTTTTGCATCCATAAAGTGGGACGGAGCGAACTGTGCACCGTAAACCCGCCATTTACTTAGTAAGCGTATATCTCGACTACGCCATAAGTGACGCAAGTTGGCAAAAGCCAATCGAGCCTCCTGCATCCGTGCTGAGATTTTATCAGTCACCAGGCCATCAACAATGATGCGACTCCCAAGATAAGTGAATCGGTCAACACACTCAACTACCTCACTCCTTATCGCTAGTTCAGGTGCCGATGAAACCCAATCTTGAAGCAACATTTTGCATTTCGAGGTGGGAAACCGCATCTCGAACATGCTTGCATTGCTGCTTAGGATAGTCAAAAGACTGCATTTTGTGGGCGTCTTCACAAAGTAGGACTATGTCATGAGCATACTCTAATTTAGCAAGCGTATCTCCGTGTAGAAGGTCCACCTCTGAAAAGTCACGTTTGGAACCAGCCTGATTTATTCGAGTCTGCTTTTCACAAAACGCAGAGTCTTCTGACCACCCTAAGCAACAATGCAAGCATGTTCGGGATGCGGTTTTTCCCCTCGAAATGCAAAATGTTACTTCAAGATTGGGTGTTGACCGCTTCACTTATCTGGGGAGTCTCATCAGTGCCGATGGCCTGGTGACTGACGAAATCTCAGCTCGGATATAGAAGTCTCGATTGGCCTTTGCCAACCTGCGTCACTTATGGCATAGGAGAGATATCCGTTTGCTGACTAAAGGACGAGTGTACTGTGCAGTAGTTCGCTCCGTCTTACTTTATGGCTGTGAAACATGGCCAGTGAGAGTAGAATATTTTCGTAGGTTACTGGTTTTCGATCATAGGCGTCTTCGAAGCATTGCTCTTATATCCTGGGATACCCGAGTGAACAACGCTGTTATTAGGAAACGGGTGCTAGTTAAGAATGGCAGATCAATAGATGGATTAATGAAACTTCATCAGTTGAGGTGGTTGGGACATGTGTTACGTATGGCTAACCACCGACTGCCGCGACGAGCTATGTTTTGTGGTGTAGGTGTAGATTGGAAGAAAGCTAGGGGCGGCCAGACCAAAACATGGCAGAAATCCATGAAGTCACTGACGAGTGGACTGAGTCATGTTGGTAGATGTAGACTACCTGGTTGGGGTCCGCGAGACGAAAGTTACCGATGGTTAGAGACCTTGAACGACATGGCTCAGAATCGTTTGCAATGGCGCAGGTGCATCCTTTCTTGTGTGTTTTTTAATTCTAACCTTCTGAATTCCTCATAATCTCTATCTCTCTCCTTCTTAATTTATCTCACTGAATCATCCTTGAATAATATCTTCTAATCCTAACCTCTCCGATTACTTCCAATACCTTTACTACGTCTATTCCTATTAGATTTGAAATGACAATTACATCTCTGTGCTAATGTGGTATGGCAACATGAACTGATGTACTTACGTACGTTTCATCTGACTGACTGACTGTTATTAATTTTGACATTGACCGTCTCTTTATCAAGCAAAATGACATACTCTAGCAGCAAGCTACCAAGTGTCCAAATCAAGTCATTTAAGCATTTCATGCAGTCTCTATTAATTGGCATGAATCATCTAGACAGCTGTCTCGACAAATTTCGATGAGACCCACAATCAATGGTTGGAAAATGTGATTCAGTTCTAAGTGTTTGTGTCACAAAATACTCCTCATATCTCATCTAAATCTTCAATATTTTAGACTTTTTAAATTGTAAATCTACGCGGTGGTTATTAATGGAGTCCGAAACGCTTCTTTCGTCTTGTTCGGAAGTCGTTAGTTGGATGACAAATGTCCGGACCGAGGCTCGAACCCTGTATCTTGCTGACTAAAAGATATGAATGAATTGTATTGTCGAACCAACCCGTTTAAGATGCAGATAATACAAAGGTTACTGCTCAGTTTCAGCCCATAACAACAAAAACGTGATTTGACTATTGGTATGATTAATCTTTTTCTAATTTGGCTGTTTTTGTTTTCGTAATATGTGCAATAGATTTATGTATTCATGCTTTTTGTTAGACATCTTGTATTCCGATAAAAAAAATACAAGAAGTTATATTACAGCATATAACTCTGCGCGTTGGAAAAAATATTTGTTGTTTCCTCAACTGATCTCTTGATTAAGTAATATATCCTGACTGCTTCACCTATTCAACAAGTACTTAGTATTCTAAAAAACGTTTTTGGTTTAGATATTACGCCTTAAAATATAAGGAAACTTGAATTGCTGAACATTTCTGATTAGTTATTTATTTTGTTTGCGCTTTTTTTGTTTAGGTCATAAGACAGATCAACAAAGATTTCAATCTGCGGCGTTTTTGTTTGGTCAGTAAAGGGGCTTCAATCCTTCGTCAACCAGGGTTTTGGGACCCAATTAAAATGTTAGGAAATCAGTTGGGAGTTTCTGTGTATAAATTCTGTACAAACGCTAAGTAAGTTTATATATTTAATATATATGTGGAACTAAATACCACTCTATATACTTCGATTTTCTATGAGAATCACTTATACTTCTAAACTGTCATAATTAAATTAGTTAGTACTTGTTCGTATTTGGGTTCGAATAGTTGAGAATCCGATGCTAAAACCGCCAACTGACTATTCCCTATCGTTAATCATTATATGACGGACCTTCAGGTTTAAAAATATGGTACTTTTGAATGCCGATTCTTATTCATCAAAGATCGACAGAAATAGGTTAATGGAAAAAGTATGAGTTTTGTACATTTACAATAGAAAAGCCACACATATCTTTCTGTGTGTTTCACTCTTACCTTACGGTTATATTTTCATTAAACTGATTTTCATTCTACTTATTCAGGTCGGAAGACGATGTATTCCTCCTCTATATGGCTATGAAGTCTGGGCCACAATGCTATATTGTATCTAATGATGAATTCAGGAATCACCGATTTTCATCTGGTTCGGAACTTGGAAAACAAATTTCTAGGTGGCAGTCTCTCAGACAACTTGTACTACGACATCATGGTCGGATATACCAAGTAAGACTAATTTCCAATGTAAAATCAACGTGAGCCTCTATAAAGCTTTAGCTATTGTTAACTACTGATTTGGTACTGATTTAGTACTGCACCTACATACTGATCTAATTATTTTCTGTTACCAGAAATTCTTTTAACTGGTAATATAATAAACCCTGCCCCAATAGACCCGATTTGGTATTTTCACCGCAGCTGAACCATATTAAAGTTGATCTATATAACATGAAATCGTTTTCTCAAGGGTGTTCGTATCACTTCATTGTTTGAACAATGTTGATTAATATGGTCTATAGTTGGAAGCTGCTGATATCATGATGTCAAAGCATAGCATATCGATTGTACTGATTCAGTCAAATTTTAGTGGACTGAACACACTCTTTAAGATTAAATCAAGTTACAATATCTAGCTAAAACATCGCTTTAGTGGGGAAAGTCTTTTTGTGATGTTTACCATTCTGTTGGCTGTATTGTATGTGACAACATAAAATTAATTTCTTGGCAAACAATGAATTCTAAATCTAATAAGCAGATAACGGTGACCATCTGCTACATTTTCACTTGGGCAATCTACGGTCCCTAGTATGGCCTCTAACTTCAACACAACGGTGGACAAAAGTAGATCGAATTCCCATCAGCCATTGTTGAAGAGCCGTTCTGCCAGAGTAAATGTCTGAAATTCGATCATGCCCTTGTGAGAGCAAACATTTTTATATGCTTTAATGGTTATATGACCAGCCTTATTTGCCCGGTCTGCATTTGTGTGAGGACGTTGGAGGAGGCCAGTTCGAATGGCACACGTAGTTTCAGAAAGGCTGGTTCAGAAATAGTGCTTGGTAGTAGCATTCAACATTCTACCAGTAAGTGATTTGAGATCGTTTGTGTAGGACTGGATCTCCAGCAAGAACATGCCTCTTTATGAGCTGAAAAATCGAATGCAGCAAGTAGAAATAAAAGGAACTTGACAGGTGATGCAATATAAAATAAAAACGGTTGTTAAGGAACAGTTCTATGGCTTGCGAGAATGAAGATTGAGTGCAGGATGATCTTGTCAGATGTACTCATAACCTGGTTCGTGTAGGCTGGGTTTAGTATCATTTACTCGTAGCAAAGCTTATCGATACTGTGCCGCGGATCGTGTCGCCCTGGAAATATTGCTAAGGTGAAAAGTGCCTGACCCGTTAGAATTTGTCCCTTAGGCTCTTGTAGTCACGCTCCCAGGTCTCTAAGACCGACACTAATCTACCTTCCTTTTCAGGTTCCTCAAGAGACAATTTTAATCTAGAGGTCCAATGCACATGGCAGTAAGGCAGTGACAATAGGTGTTGTCCATGACAACCACTGATTAAGACGAAATTCATACACCATCAGTCCCCTTAGGAACCTGGAACACACGTGCCCCATTGGTTTTGAGTTATGATCTTCCAATTTTCCTATGTAGATCCTCTGTACCCAACAACCCGGTTTGAGCGCTAGACATTCACTTTTCGTCCTTTTGATTTCGTAGACAACCTAGGCACTAGCCACTTAAGAGCATTTTGAGGAGGGTGAGCCCTCACCACACAGCCCTACAAAGGTAATCGGGGGCTTGGAGTTTTACGAGTAAACTCGAACCTACATTTGTATGCCCTATCTCTAGCTTCATCTGACTTCAAGTTTTAGTTCGTGTTTATCTCTATTTGGGTAAACTTGCTAAGCGTATTATTTTTCATATAATTTATTTGGTTTTACATATTATTTTTCAGAAACCCTCAAAGTGTGACTTGTGTGTACATGGTAACTTAGAAACTGGTTGGCACATCCCTTATTATAAAGGGAACTATCAGAAATTCTACACTGCAGTTGATTCCTGGCTTTGTATACATCGTCCAAAATAAATATTCGCACCAAAACTTTTGTTTTGATTGTTTATACTTTACAAGAATATTCAGCTGTAAATGCAGGATAACGAAAAATATTCCTAAAACTGTGTCTAGTTCTGGTCCCGTATTTGTAAATAAGATTCCTTCCTAACTGCTGACTTGTTGGTATATTTTTTAAATAATACCGACTAGCCTTTTAAGGAATTGTTTGCAATGCGTATGCATTACGTGCGACGATATTTTGATTCAGACACATGTGGTTTGGATAGAATCTCAAGTCGGTGTCCTAATCTTACACACCAAAACTTGGGGAGGAACCTAATGAATAAATACTGGACGTATGCCACTGACTGTAGTAATTAATGTTGATACTAAATCGTAGTTGGTATACAATTATCCTTGTTCGATGAATCCTATGAAACAGTGATCGATGGGTAATTCGCCATTCGATTGTATGTCCTAACAAAATAAATAGCGATAAATTAACGTCTAAATAATGCTTTGTTCAACATGTAAAAGCACTGGTATTTGACTTAATTATTTTACAACTTGTAAGGCATCATCCTGAGGGTTTGCTAATAAATTACAATTAGTACATGTGTTACATATGCCATCCACTTAGATCGGTGGTGTCACTTATGGGAGTAAGTCTGAGAAATGCTGGCTTTTCAACTTCATCAGCAGTCGGAAGACTCACGTCTATTCGCCATTCAGGTTGACTGGAGATTGTGGGCAACCGAAGCGGCTGAGAGCCAGTTGAACTGATCCCTGAAGTGTTCTGCCCATCGATCCAATCTCCTGGATTGAGAATGAATAATATTCCCATCCTTTTCTGAGATAGTTTCGCTAACAGATGGATTTCTAATCATGATTTCCTTGATAAGCTTGAATAGTTGCCTATCGCCACTGTCTTTTCCATCTCTCTAAATTTCGCTACCCACCACTGTTCGCGATCATTGCATAGGCTTTTTATCAGCCTGCGCATAAGCTGACTCCACTCCCCATCATGTCCTGATCCAGGTGGGATGAGTTTACGAGCGCATATCAGTTCGGTGGATGCTAATGAGATCCTCAGCATAGCTTTACTATCATTAAGTAGAAGCGTAAGAGGTTTCTTTGCAGTGTCTTTACTACGGCTAGTAAGCCTCAAACAAATACTAGCCCGCACTAGAGCATTATCTAAATCTAAGCATGTGCCCCGAAGAACGGGCGACAGTCGTCTATCAGAACCCTCGATCGGCGGCTGATGTCAATGTGACCTAGTTGGGTCCAGCGTTGGACCGACCTTCGGGGTCGCCGTGTCAAAAGATGATTTTCCTTAAGCGTAAAGTTAGTGTTTGATAGAAATAGGCAGTTATCTGAGCATAGATGCGACAGACGGTCGCCATTGTCTGTTCGATCACCTGCGACACCATAAGATCAGACCAGGTGTCTTTCCTTTTCACCCAGTCTACCTACACGAGCATTGAAGTCACCAGCCAACACTACTATATCAGAGCGCCCAACTTTTTCGAGGACGTCCGAAAGATTGTTGTAGAACTCATCTTTCACGTCGTCTGAACTGCAGTTTGTGGGAGCCCGACCGAAGCTGCTACCTTGACGTGGTGGCCGGGCTTGCCTATCGTGATGACCCAACCGAGCTATACTGGCTGGAACATATGTTCCTGCAGGTCCAACCATGCCAGGCTGGTCGATTGGAGAACGATGAGACTAAAAGCAGCTACCCAAGGTCTGAGGACGAAGTCGTACTGCTGACTGCAGAGGGGTGTGACAGCAGTAAGGTGTTTCCCTCGGACAACCAGCATCTGCAGCGATGCTGCCTTCTCACAAGGAAGGAAGGGTTAGAAAAGGTCGGCCCTAAAAATGTCACACCTCCCCTAACTCACGGATTTCCGTCTCCTTGGGTAAGGGTGCCCACTAAGGGCCTTTAAGAACGGAGCTAATCCTCTAAATACCTCTCATAAAAAGGCCGTGCGTGACCGGCCTCAAGCAGTTGTCCCTTGGGCTCTGCGGTCACGCACCAACACTAATCCATCTTCCTTTTCAGGTCCCTCAAGAAGCAACCTTCTACGGTGTGGGCAGCCGGGAAGTGACAACCGCCCTCATACCCGTAACAGCACGCGAGACCAAATTGGTCAAAGTCAAATCCTTCCTACACCCCCTAATGTCTCTCTTATCGCTACGACTAACTCTACTCACACTCCCTTTTCTCACTGCACCGCTAATGCAGACGAAGCGAGATCACGAAACGTCGTTCCTGGTCTCTTGAAACCCCGTTCTAGACTACATGTTGGAGCTTTTAATGTACGGACATTGTGTCAAATAGGGCAACAGGCATCATTAGCTAGGACTTTAGAAACTCGTGCTATCGATGTATGCTGCGTCTCGGAAACGCGCATACAGGATCCTAGTAAAGTCATTAACCTGATTCCACCTTGTCAAAACGAAGAAGCAGCACGATTCACTCTTCGTGTATCCGGTAGCCCTGATGCTGCTTCCAGGGGTCTTGCTGGCGTAGGCATAGCGTTGAATCCTAGGGCAGAATTATCTCTCCTAGACTGGATCCCAGTAGATAGTCGTTTGTGCGCTGTCCGACTAAACGGGACAGTAAGGACTCGGAAAGATAAGGACACTCGCCGTTGCCTCTTTGTCATATCTGCCTATGCCCCCACTGACTGCAGTTCAAACGAGGTTAAAGATGAGTTTTACAGAAAGCTTTCGGACCTCCTCCAAAAAGCTAGGCGCTCTGATATAGTAATAATGGCTGGTGACTTTAATGCTCAAGTAGGTAGACTAGGTGAAAAGGAAAGACATCTTGGTGGATGTTATGGTGTAGCGAATGAGAGAACAGACAATGGCGACCGTCTGTTGCAACTATGCTCAGATAACCGCCTATTCTTAGCGAACACTAACTTTAGGCATAAGGAAAAGCATCTGTTGACCTGGCGACCTCCGAAGTCGTCTCAACGTTGGACTCAACTAGATCACATCGCCATCAGCCACCGATGGAGGGGTTCGATAGAGGACTGTCGCTCGTTGTGGGGCACATGTTTGGATTCAGATCATGCTCTAGTGCGAGCTCGTATCTGTTTAAGGCTTACTGGACGTAGGAAAGACACCGTAAGAAAGCCAAGAAAATCTTTCAGGAGCAACCAGAAAGAGACTTAAGCAACCATGCAAGCGATTCCCATCCGGAAGCAGGATGGAATGATATCAAAAAGGCTGTGGAAACAGCAATGATATCTTCTAGTAAGGTTGACCGTAAGGCTAGAATGAAACCGTGGATCTCTGTAGCATCCACCGATCTGATGGATGCCCGAAATCTCATCCCACCTGGCTCTGAACATGATGAAGAACGAAGTCAACTTAGGCGCAGACTTATAAAAAGCCTACGTAGCGATCGCGAACAGTGGTGGGTGGCGAAAGCAAAAGCGATGGAAAAGGCAGCGGCGATCGGCAACAGTAGACAACTTTTCCGACTTATCAAGGAAACTGGTATTAGGAATCATAGTGTAAGTGAGACTATCTCGGAAAAGGATGGTCTTATTATCCATTCTCAATCCAGGAGACTGGATCGATGGGCAGAACACTTTAGGGATGAGTTCAACTGGCCACGAGCCACTCTTCGGTTACCCACGATCTCCAGTCATCCTGAATGGCAAATCGACCTAAGTCCCCCTAGTCTTAATGAAGTTGAAAAAGCGTTAGGAAATCTGAAGCGAGGGCGAGCTGCGGGTCCTGATAGACTGACCCCTGAGATATTTAAGGATGGTGGTCCAGTTTTATCTGCTAGGTTGACTGAGATCTTAGGTGGAATCTGGAAACTGGACGCAATCCCATCCGACTGGACTCAATCACTGATTGTTCCAATCTATAAGAAAGGACAGAAGTCTTCTTGTGACAATCACAGGGGAATAAGTCTAACTAATATAGTATCTAAAATATTGGTCTCAATAATACTTCGACGCTTAACGAAAGCTCGTGAAGAGCAGACTCGAGAAAACCAATCTGGTTTTCGACCTGGACGTGGTTGTATAGACCACATCTTCACACTCAGACAGGTCCTGGAACACAGACACACATTTAGGCGTCCTACAATAGTTGTTTTCCTGGACCTAAAAGCGGCATTCGACTCAGTGGATCGTGAGGTTCTGTGGCAGTGTCTGTCATTGAAAGGTGTACCAAAGAAGTACATTAACCTTATACAAGCACTCTACTCGAACACCAATGGTCGAGTGAGGGCTTATGGCGAACTGTCACCGGAATTCTCTACATCAAGTGGTGTCCGTCAGGGATGTCCACTTTCTCCATTCTTGTTTAATTTTATCATAGACATGCGCCTAGAAATAACCTTATCCTCGTCTGAATTTTCAGGAGTAGACCTTCTACCAGGTGGCTCGCTTATTGACTTAGAATATGCCAATGACATTGTCCTACTTGGTGAAGACGCTGACAAAATGCAGAGTCTTCTGACTACCATAAGCAACAATGCAAGCATGTTTGGGATGCGGTTTTCCCCCTCGAAATGCAAAATGTTGCTTCAAGACTGGGTTGCATCGGCACCTGAACTAGTGATAGGGAGTGAAGTAGTCGAGCGTGTAGACCGCTTCACTTATCTAGGGAGTCTCATCAGTGCCGATGTCCTGGTGACTGACGAAATCTCAGCTCGGATACAGAAGGCTCGATTGGCTTTTGCCAACCTACGTCACTTATGGCGTAGGAGTGATATCCGTTCTCTAATCAAAAGACGAGTGTACTGTGCAGCAGTTCGCTCCGTTCTCCTATATGGCTGTGAAACATGGCCAGTGAGAGTAGAAGATATTCGTAGGTTACTGGTTTTCGATCATAGGTGTCTTCGAAGCATTGCTCGTATACCGTGGGACAACCGAGTAAGCAATGCTGTCATTAGGAAACGAGTACTAGGCAAGGATGGTAGATCAATAGATGAAGTGGTGCAACTTCATCAGTTGAGGTGGTTGGGACATGTGTTACGAATGCCTAACCACCGACTGCCTCGTCGAACTTTGTTT